CTAAACTAAAAAAAAAAAAATTAATCATTTATGATTCCCTAAATTAGAGAGCATGGTTGGAGTTGAGTTGAAATTTTATAAGGAGCTCCTAAAATAGCTTTCTAGTATTTTTAGCTAAATTTTAACTAAAAAATAAGGAGCATGATTATGGATGCTCTTAGGAAATGAAAACAAAATTCAGATATCAAGATGAGAAGAAGGGAAAGTGCATGCATCTTGCATGAGGAAGCAAACAAGGTTAGCTACAAATATGGGAATCATAAATGAATGATAAAGGTAATTAATTTGATTTCAGAAAATCATGAACAATCTAAAGGATATAGAGGGGCGGATCCGTGACACTATATTTTTAACAAGTTTTGATACAATTTTCGGGCCATTCGGTTACTTCACTTTCAATGGTTGAGATTAAACCTGACATGGCAAGTAGGTTTAATTTTTTAAATAGACAATCATTAATTTTATTTTCTCTCTCATAGAAATAAAAGAAACGATTTTCTCTCTCCTCCTTTTTTTTCTTGGAGACGTAATCTCAGCTGCATCTTTAAAAATATTTATTAAGGTTGATCGGTGCATAATTACATATCATTTTGTATCCTTCTGACTTATGATTTGGTTATGTTTTTGAGTTAAACTTGTGCTTTTAATAAGTTTTGTGTTTATTTCAGTGTAATAAGCTTGAGACTCATTAAATACATTTTGGAGACAAGTTAGCTCATCGATCTCTGCAGATCAGTCAACTTCACGGATTGGAATGTACTTGCTCAAGAAGAACCAGATAAAGCGCCATATATCATTGGAAAGATGCGGACGTCTAGTTTCTGGAGAATGTTACGGTTCATGATTCCGAGTCTTCTAGAGAAAGTTATACAAGTTTTGGCAACTTAAGGTCAAATTCGGCAGCATCTGCGTTACTAGGCAAAAAAATGACATTTGAAGGGCTTTCCTATTTTTCCTTGAGCTGGGCTGTATATGCTTGGAAAGATAATTCAAAGTTAATATGCTAGTTTGAATGATTGATCACCATTTAGGCTTGCATGTTAGCTATCTTGGTTTGAATTAAGAGTAGACACCATGCTTTAATTCGAATTGAACTATGGATAGGAAGAGTATGTATGGACATTCGACAACAGGGATTAGATACATACTTGGTTGTTTAAAATGTTCTTCTATGCTTAATGGGTTCCTAATGCTTAATTTTAGGTTAGACAACAAATGATCAAATTAGGGAATTAGGAACACAAGGTTATGACCAAACACCATGGCTTAATCATACTTTAGCTAGAATCAATCTGTTAATCTAATTGAACTTGAGAACTTATCTGCTTGAATTATTTTCTTTTCTTTCTTTCTTGTTTTATTTATTTTCTTTCTTGTTTTTCTGTTTTGTGTAGGAAAACTGAATTGGATTATGCAATCACCAATCCATGTGGAATCGACCTCGCACTTACATATGTTATACTACCAAACGGCTCGTGCACTTGCGAGTATCACAAGTTGAGGATGCAGCTGAATCCATTTTGGTGCAGCTGAATCGACGCAACAAAAGTGTAATAAATAAAGAATCTCACCAAAAACTAAAAGCTCAAATCATGAAGAGTCTCTTCAGTTTCCCCTTCTTCAAGCATAGGCATATGCAACCATCAATTCATCTTCAATAGTTCTTTTATGTCAAAGCAATTTCTCATATCTTAATGTAAATATTGTCTCATCAAAATGTTGGAGCACACGCAAGATATTTCCTTCAACTCTCATTACATATCTCCGGGGAAATTAATCAAATTTCAAGTCAACTTCCAATCATAGTTGTAGCCAATTTCTAGAATGGTAAATGCCCAGTTTATTAAGCTCATGATTCACAACAATCTCAAAGAATGACTTTCCTTCCAAGGTTACCTATGTATATTGTATCACCTCGACCATGCCAGGTGCTATCTTGGACATTGTTCATCTCTAATGTTCTGAATTCTTGTTCACATAATAAAAATACTATCTATAAGTTTTCAAGCATAAGAATCTTAATCAAAATTGAGCCCTATGTCTACTTTCAATGATCTAAATAATTTCAATAGTTCGACAAGGATAGCTTCCAGTTATAGAACATCATTTTTAATCATGAATGGTGATTCAAATTAAAGAAGTTTTAAGCTCATCTAATTGGTAAAAGTGAAGGTGGATCAATAGAACTTGCCTCATTCACGAGATAATCAGCAATATGGCATCAATTTTCTCTTTGTATTCTCTACCTATTAAAATGATAAAAGTTTTTAATTGAAAAAAAAATAGTAATAGTCAAAATTTTCATATATGAGAAGATTAAAATCCCTAAATCAAACACTCAAAAAGAGACGGAGGTCTTTTTTGGCCTCATGAAAGAGAGGGAGGGAGGAGACTCTTGTTGTAGATAGAGAGAGAAAATGAGATTGAGGCTTTTTATGGTCTCATGAGAGAGAGAGAGAAAGAGAGAAAATAAAATAAAATTGTTTCATCTATTTTTATGTGAGAGAAAATAAAATTAATAATTGTCTAAGTAAGAAGTCATTTCATGTTTAATCTCAACCATTGAAAGTGGAGTATTCTAATAATCCAAAAATTGTGTGAAAAACATAATACAACACATCCGCCCCAAAAAAGGAAAATCATAACTTTGTTGAATATTAACAATACTATAGTTATTCCTAAAAAATAAAATAAAAATTGAAAGCAAATACAATTACTCCCACATTGATAAAATTTGTTTTTCCTTTAAGCTCTATAAGATTAAGTGATTTGCAATATTTTACATATGGTTTCGAACCAAAAGGTGTAGTCACCCTTCTTACTAGTCATAAGTCTCCCTGCAGCAATCTATTTTTTTTTTATTTATTTACAAAATTAATATTCTGAAATTGACCCTGTTTTGGGCTCTCTTCATATTATTTCTACACATCGTTTGCTACATTTAATATTTGAGTATTTATTTGACTGTTGATGTCAATTGAAATAAGAGTCCACTAACTTCCGAAGGAATAATAATTTCCAAAGTATCGTCACTGCACTAACACTAGCAACTTTCTTGTCTTCATCTAAGCAAAGATAGTGAATTAGACCTAATCAGAGTCAAAACGAGAAAAATAAAACAAAGAAAAAACGTGTTTGGACAACCTTACGGTAGTATTATTTCTTTATTATTGATAAACCATTTATTAATTTCTATTTGGAACCGTTGAATAAAACACCCACTCAAAGTTTTAGCATAACCTAATTCCATCCTTAAAATAGATGATTATTTATTTAAGTAAAAGTATTAGTGTTTTAAGCACAATCCTAAACTAGTACCAAAGGCAAAGGCACCATCTTAATAAATCATCGGAGATAGAAAAAGGCAAATAACAATTCAGAACACATGGAATGGGACCCATTGCATTAATGGAGACGTACTTTTTCTGGTTTTAGATTGTTAACAATGACATAAAACAAACAGCTATGGAAGATTACTACAAAAAGCTATGGAAGATTCAAGTGAGAATTTATTTGAAAAAATGTCAAAAATGAATCTCAAAATTTGAACCCGACGTGAATCGAACACGCAACCTTCTGATCTGGAGTCAGACGCGCTACCATTGCGCCACGGATCCTTGTATTATGATTGCTATTTTATATTTATTATAACAGAGACGAAACAACCCAAGAGCAGAGAGGACAACAATTATCCATAACCTCAAATATTCGAATATTTCCTAAGATTCTATCAAGTTTGTGTTTAACAACCAAAACAAAAAATATATATATCCCTTGTTTTTTTTATTTTTTATTTTGTTGGAGCCCTTGTTTTATATTTGCTTCTTTCATTTTTGAAACCCAATTCTAAGTCCCTAAAATATTCAACGCATAAAATGGCTTGGGGAAATGCTCTTTTTTTGTTGTTGTGGCTTTTCACAAATAGGCTCACTCTAACATGACACATTATAGAAAAACTCATATAGAGTCTATTTGGAGAGAAAAACCCAAAATTAGCCACTTGTGATTGTAAGTAGGTATTCGGCAATTAACCCATTGGAAAATGATAAGTGTTTAATTTTGAGTTTTTCGACTTTATATGAGTTTTTTTATAATATGTCCAGCATCAGCTTGAACTAAAGAAAGAAGTCCATCATCCAAATCATACAATCATGTAAACTCACTCAAAGAGCATGGTGTGCTCTTGGACTATGAGCAACCTTTGTTTGCTAAACGTTGTCTGTATTGAATCACCAAGGAACAAAAAGACTCAGATGTTTTTATCTCATTGACAATATTACCTTCTTCTATTGCAACTATACATTCCTCCTCAGCCAACACCATTTGAACATCAGCAAGAGCACCAAAGTCCAAAAATAAGATCATCAAGAAAACCAGCTCTTGAGCAAAAAGAAGACCATAGAGCATAGCCAGAGCACAGCTACCATGTTGATTTATGAATTTAGTTCGGTGGGAGTAAAAGTTAAGGCTCAAGTAATAAGACACTTCCCATGAACCCTAAATTTGAGGGAGTGGAGGGAATCAACATGATATCCACTACCATTGAACATGGAGATAAATAAGGGATTTTGGACTCCAAATTCAAGGGTTCAGTGCCTATAAAAAGCCAACTAATCCTCCAGCATAAGGGAAGAAAGGGATGATTGATTCTACTGAAATATTCCTGAACAAACACTAACTCGAGATTCGGAGTGTTTTCTTACAAGTACCCCCCTCCTCACTCACTGTTGATAATCAAAGATGGTGTCTAGCTTCTCAACATGGAAATTAAATTACTTGTTGAAAGACCCAAAATTTCCTGCTCCAACAAACTCAAACAAAACAATTTATGACAATAACACTTCACCACTATATATAGTTGTATTTAATCCAAAAGTTTTCCTGTAATTTTATTTTATTTTATTTATTTGGGGTAGGGAGGGGAAGAGGAAATTCCATAAATTTTGGTGTACATGTATCAGAAGGCATGAAAAACCTTGATAAAAATGGATAATAGAGACTATAGCAAAACATGCATCACCTATTCTAAAATATAATCCTCAAACCAATATATGTTCTTTTTGTTAAATTACAAACCAGTAAACCAAACCCTTTAATACTCATTCAAAAATGTTACACAGAATTGCGAACTGCTTACAACACTATCTCCCATGATTTTTACACGCACACTGAAAAAAATAAGCTTTGAGGGTAAACAAGGAACATTCTGATATTTGCAGGCATGTCTTTAGACATCCCGCATCCTTACAACAAATAAGGCATTGCTATTGCTACTGGGACTTTTTTATGAGTATAAATTTACAGAACAAAAGAATGCAACATTTCATCTGACAGGGTGTTCTCCGGTCGAATAATGCTGCAGATGAGGCTTAAGAAATTAATCATCAGTACAAAGAATTTTGTGGCTGAAAAATATAACTCATTTAACCAAGTTGTCTTTTAACCCACATGTCGATCATAGTGTTTTGTCAAACACAAATTGTCTTTAACTCAATAAATCTGAATTGGAGAAAAATAAAATCCAGAAGCCACAAAAAAAAAGAGGGAACAATATTACCTTGAAAAAAGCCGTCTGTCATTTTCCCCCTTCAGATTCAACAGTCCATTTCTCATTGTTATTGTTTTCTAAGCTGCTTTTCATTTCAATTAACTTTTGTTGTTCTTCCTCAGTCTCTTGTGCTTTTACTTGATTCACATCCTTAGGCTTCTTGCTTGTAGATTGCTGATACATAACACCACCTGCCAAGCATATCAACAGGCCCACTGTACCAACAAAGGTTGAATGTTTGTCCCAAATAACCAGATTAATCACAACAGTTAATAATTTGTTCACTATACCAAGAACAGTAAATCCAGTTGCAGAAATAGCCCTTCGGCAAGAAAACCCAAAGAAAGAGATGGATAAACCAAATAAACATGATAACCCCACTGGCAAAAGCACCCCAAGAGAATACCAATCCGATTCATCTGAGATTTCATGCTGAATCTTCTTCAATTCATCCATTACAAGTAGTTCCAACGGAAACAGTAGAAGAGCCTCAAGATTGTTATACAGTACAAGACCCCATGTATTTAAACCAATGGTCATTACCACATGCTTTATGTAGACAAAGTCTATGGGCATGCTTACCAAGTAAGCTAGAGCCCAACTATAAGCCGTTACTCTGGTAATCCGTTAGTACAAAAATCACACTTCCCCCAAAAATAGTGGCAAGTGAGGTCCATGTCCTCATTGATGGCCATGGTTGGTGAAAGAAGAGAATCTCTCCTATGGCAACAAAAATTGGAACAACAGAATGAAAGACAATGAAAGTGTCAACATTAGCATGGAGAAGGAGCTCACTGTTAGTGAAGAGAGAGAGGTAGAATATAATTGCCGCTGGTAGGAAGCGCCACATGGTAAGTAGGTAAAGCGAATCATACTCTATCAACTTAAGCCAGCCACAAACGAGGACCCCAATAACACTTGTAAAATACTGTAAAGCAGTTAGTGCCCCAGGATAAGGAAATTTCACGACAGCCCATTTGTTGATGATGGAAAGCAACGATGCAGATAAGCAGTAGCCAGCGGCTACCCCATAGACTGAGATTTGCTGGAGTAAAACACTATACCAGTTTGATTGGGTATTACCGAAGAGAGTAGGGGAACTAGAACTACCCTGGACCTGACGGCCCTGACCAGCTTCAGGATTCACCACACCATTATTATTAGGCATCTATCACAGGATCAAAAGATTCTGTCAGTCCATCAAGAAAAACAGGATAGGGAAAATGCGCCTGGTTGCCAGGACCACAGGGTGCATAGACTTCTGGGTAAAATTATTTGCACAATTTGGAAACAAATGTTTAACAGAAAAATCAGGAAAGAATAGCAACACCTTTCTCATGGGCACTTCAGCTTCATCCCTCTTCCCAGCTTCACCAAGGGCCTCCACTTGTTCAAGCAACTTCTTTAATTTTTCCTCCACAACAGACAACTGTTCAAACTGTTCAGTTGACAGTGGACTTGGCGGTGCAGGTTCCACCTCCTGATGACGGCGTTCTCGCTCACGCCTTACTCTTCTATCCAAATCCATCACCTGCAATGCAAGTAGAATAAGACAAAGACATATATGTGAATAATTTGAGATCATAATGCCCACTGGCTAGAAGTGCAACTTACCAATATCTCACAAAACTGAGCTAGTTCAGCTTCAAACTTGGCCACATATGCATCATGCTGTGGGGACTTCTCAAAACTAAAATCACCAACGTATAAAAAAACCACTTAAAACTGAGACAATAAAATATAATCACAGCGCCATATCAGGTAAAAAGGGAAGAAAAAAAATGTAGCAGGCAGCAGGTGATATATTTTGTGTTTTATACGAAAACAAAAACAGCAAGTTCTCAAGTTTTCTGATGAAAAGGAAGAGAGTGTATTAAATGAACTCAGATGATAATCTGATCTTTAAGAAAAAAACTTCAACTTTTGACAGAACAATCTAGATGCTCTTATGAAAGCTTAATGGGAGCAATGATATACCCTTTTCCAGACAGTGTAAAAATAAATATTCATCAACTGTTTACATGTAAGAAAAATGAAAAAAAAAAAAAAAAAAAAGCTTGCAAAGGGTTCAAGCACCAGGAACAGAACCCTTTAAAAAAATAGTTAAAAAGAGCAGCACATCATGACATGTGAAACATCAGCAAGCAACTAACATATCATTCCACACATATAAAGCAGATAATTATTCATAAAAACGGAGATTGTTAGCAAAATCATGAAAGCAATTAAGTTGACATGCGAAAAAGGGAAGGACTTTATATATTATATTTCATTCAATTTGGATGCACTGAAAAGACGCAAGATGAAAACCCAAGTAACATTTCCCACAAGAAAATCCTAATCTACACAAAAAATCCAGTTAATCACCTTTCTTTCAACTTGGGGTCATGTATTCTAGGGCAGGGTCCTGATTAAGAAAACAAAAGATTTGCTGTTATTGATGTGTTGCACTCTCTAAACATATGAAAAAAGCAAATGATTCAAAAAACTAAAATTCAGAATCGTGATTCCTTGTTGGTTTTTCTAAGCAACCAGATGGACTGTTAAAAAGGTGTAATTCATTACGAATTGAAGAGCAATGCACCTATATCGCTTCGAGTATTGGCGAAGAGATCGAAAGGACAAAAGCGAACCAGATAGTGCCCACAAACCTCCTTATCGTCCCAAGTAAGTTCCC